GCACGCCATTTCTCGACCCGCTCTTTCATTTGAGCCCAAAAAAACATTCATATCTTGTCTGACATCTTTGCTACAAACTCGGGTTTTCAACTCGGGGTTTCAATTGAATGAAATGAGGGGATAACGCCTTTTTTTTCAGAGGTGATTTTTCAAAAATTTATTTTAAAAAAAGTACCGACTAGCAAATGTTTTTTATTAGCACGCAATTTTCTTCAAAACTACTTCAATGAGGAAAAAAATAAAAATTTGGAATATCTATACATGAGGGGCTAATTGATCGGATCTCCCGAATGATCCCCAAGAACAGATCATTGGCCACAGTTTGTCCCCCCCGAGTGGAACGAAAAACCTCAAATCCCTCCCAATTCCCTAGCATTTTTCCCCCGCCCGTAAAACTTATTTGCATGATACGTGACCACCTTCACCACGTACCTCTGACCATATCTACCAAATGCAGTCTCTGTGTGCCGAGATGGCCTCGGAGTTGCGGTTCGCATTACGCTGCGGTTCACAGCAGCGTCGACTTACCAAAACCAGAAATGCCGAGGGTGATGTGACAACAACTGTAACCTGTACCAGGTGTAGTCCACCGTCTACGTCATTGCTACGTAGCAGACGATGCTTCAGTCATGAAGAAACCACTTACATGCCAAGCATCGATATACCGAGATTAAATGGTGTAAGTTCGTTATGCACGATTAGAGCCTGTGTATTGTATCTCAAGATGAAAAAAGCTGAGGCATTTTGGGGGTCTCAAAGGGGGTTTCAGAGGTGATTAAGTCATTCAACGAAATTTAATGAAAATTAAACGAAAAATAATGAATGTTGGGACAAAAAAAAATGAAATTGCAAGCTTCACTGCAGGGAGAGAAATTGTGTGGAAAAATTACGGTGCTCCTGAGAATTTTTTCAAGTGTGCAAGCTGTGGTTGTTTTTCCTAGCACATGAATTTTTCTAAAAAAAATTTAGCAGCGGAAAAATTCAATGAAATTGTTATTTTTTAACTGCAGACGGACGAGTTGCCGAAAAAAAAATTGAATTATCGATGAGAACATGAATATTGAACAACAAATCTCGTGAAATTTTTAATTAATTGATAATTCAAGAAGAATGTCGTCAGATTTTTATGGGATGATTCAAATAAAATTCACAGTTTGACGAAATTTCTTGAAATGTGTTAAAAATTTCCCAAACGTTTTCCGCAAATGTCCGACATTACTGTTTGAATTTCCAAAAAAAAAATCAATAACCAATTCTTGAGATACAATTACACTTGGATGCAGTCGATGCTCGACTCAATCCATCAGAGGCTCGCCAGTAATACCTTCTAGCCCCGTAGGAACAAGAATAAAGGAAGTATTCGTGTTTGACGTCGCAATGTAAATACCTCAAGCTTACCAACTACCTGTACCTGACTGTGCTAATCTGTCTGAACCGAACGATACGCTTAATTGTGCTTGGAATGTACACACTACGAGCGCTGGCATGGTCAAATACCCAAAGAACCGGCGTACATGTCAATTTTTAGCCATTAAAATTCTTCACGTAAATTCCGCTTCGCTGTTCCCCCTCAAAAATTCAAACCTGTCCTTCCCATCACTGTATGACTAACCCATGAGGGATGAAACGTTTCACGAGATTGGGTCGAGTAATTACACGAACTTTTCCCCCCTCAGTTCTTTGACGTACGTAATTTGCGTATTTCACTAACAGGAAAATCACTCGCAAGTGGTACGAGAGCTTCAACTGTCAGTCGTCAATGGTGCTTTTTGCCATAAGCAAGTGCTCCATAATAATTCGTAAAAGCTGTGCCTAGGATGAGCAAAATTGCCCTGAATAAAAAAAATCCTCTCTAAATTCCAACGCACAACTTTCCTAGAATAAACTCCCTCGTATGCAGAATCCTCGTGCTCACTAAGTTCCCCCCCCCCCCCCCCCCCTTT